AAGTGGAAGCAGAAAGGATAAAAAGAAATAAGTCAGCTTATCTTTTGTCATTTAGAGAAAAAATATTTAAGATGCCTTCTTTTTGTACTTAAATTTGAGAAGTCTGTTTGATTTCCGAGAGGACGCGAACGCCATGGGAAGTACTCAGTTGTTTCCAGTACCTCTCGTTCACTGCCACAGCCCACACGGTTGTGGCACAACCATGTTAAACCTGAAGGAAAGGGAAGCAAGCGTATGTAGCTCTAAAGATGTTTCAAGTATTGATAGAAGTGGAAATAATATTTTTTACATAATTCTGTGTCTGTAGAAATACAACTTTTTTAAAAAAATTAAGTATGTTTATGAGCCTTTTCAGTAACTTAATTGAATTTCGTTGTACCCTACCTTACTAGAAAGAAGAAAGAAAAAACCCTGTAAATGTTATATTCTCTTAGAAGTGGAAATAATATTTTTTACATAATTCTGTGTCTGTAGAAATACAACTTTTTAAAAAAAATTAAGTATGTTTATGAGCCTTTTCAGTAACTTTTAATTGAATTTCGTTGTACCCTACCTTACTAGAAAGAAGAAAGAAAAAACCCTGTAAATGTTATATTCTCTTACTATTTAAATTAAGTAATGCTTTATTAATTTCTGTCTCCTAGAAATATCCAGTTCATAAAATGGGGCCTCCCCCTCGCGAGTTCATAACAACACACTGTCCTTAGATGCACTCCTCACCCTTCCCCTGTGTGCACTGCATAGGGGGGCACAGCTGGCCCCTGCAGGTTGCATTTCCCAGGCTCCTGTGTCGAAAAGATTTCTATCAATACTAGGTTCAGCCAGTGGGAGACTTTGGCGGGAGATTGGTGGGAAGAAGGGAAGGAGAGAGAAACCAGGGTATCTTCTTCTCCCTTTCTGTGTTAGGCAGCATCTCTGATCCTCCATGGCTTTGGCTTCCATAGGACAGGTCCTTGACTCTATTTATACCCCCCTTTTTCTTTCTCCCTCATGCCAAGGGATGCTAAGGCCTTCTTGCTGTTGCTAATCTCTGGGCTATAACACCATTCTCAGTTGGCTTCACCACTCTTCGTTACCTACGTACCAGTTGCCTACATTAAATTTCCTGTGTTAAATATTCAGAGTGATTTCTAGTCTTCTGGTTGGACTGATGTACACACAGCCTTTAACCACAGTGGTCAATTTATATCCTATGGAAATGGGCCAGAAAGGAAGCCTATTTGTGATGCGTTTCTCTTTTAATTGCCTATATTAAAACACAAACTCCTTTTCTGGTCAGGCAAATGTCTCTTGTATATTTCTGGCTTAAAACAGTGATTGTAGTTTACATGTGAATTTAGTTTATGGAAGACTGGACTACTTGCCTAGAGCTTTATTTGCTGATGGATATTTATTTCTTTTTATTCTCTTAATAATCAGTGGTCTGACCTTATACTTATTTTAAGTGCTTGATTTTTATTGTCACTTTTTAATTTTGTTTTATTAAGATGCCATTGTCATTGGCTATATAAATTTGTTAACATTTAAAAATTACTTAACTGCTGAAGTCTGCAAAGTGTACAGCTTTTCAATAAGTAAAATTCACATAAGGCATTGATATCATGAAAAGAATTAAATTGGGAAACATCCTGTATGATGCCTGAGTTCAGCAAAATGGTTCAAGATGCCTTTTTAGTCCTTTATGTATAATGTGTGACAGGTGAGGGAACCTACTGCTTTTTTGGCTGTGTCAGATGGAGGGAAAAAACCCACAATAAATGACTTCCAAAGTGAAAACTTTGTTGGAAGCATCTTGGCAAACAGCAGAGGTAGTCAGTAAATGTAAAGTCAGAGGCAGACAAGCACGTGGCCCTGGGTGTTTTGGCCCTTATGACCATGCAACGAGAAGGGAGGTAGTCCCTTCGTAGGACTTTGGATGGCGTTGGATGTTTCCTGTAGAGAGGAAGAACATGTATTTCAGATTAAATGAGAAAACCGCCATTTTCCTCTTCTGAATCTGAATAACATTTTGAATATGACACTGAAATATTACTATATTGAGACTAATTTTGTGTATCAACGTGGAAGATGCTGGGTTAATATATAATACCCATATTTAAAACCTCGAAATCTGGAACAGACATTTTTGAAGTGCTACTTGAGATAAATGACAGCCCTATGCATGACTTAGTACCCTAAGATGGATGGCCCTTCCAGTGGCCATTTTTTTATATTAGCTACTAATGAGTATTATTGAGTCACTGACTAATTCTGAAGAACATTTTGGTGAATTATAATTGGGACTGTGATTTACTGAGTATGAAGACTGACAGGCCATTCCTTAGCCCTGTAATTGGTGTGGAAGCAGAGAAAAAGCACTCTGATGGTCAGCATTCCCTTTCTGTGGGGCGGAGGGTGGCGGCAAAGTCAAAAGCATAATCCAGCCAAAGTAGAATATTATTTTTGTCAGCCCTTTTCGCATTTTACTTGTATTAAGAATGGCAGGAAAGTGTGAAGTGCCACCAAACTTTGGAAGGGCAGTCTTTTGTCCACATCCTATTCTTATATTCAGTGTATTGAAGCATCATCCATCACAGCTATGCCCTGGTGTTAAATGGTTCATTATAGTCAGTGAACCACAAAATAGTCTAGGTAGAGCGACAGAATTTAGAATCATGGGCCAGATGCACAGGCTATGTAACTGATTATTCCTAGAAGGACAAGATCTGATTTTTTGTATTCATTGAATTTTTTGGAAGTTTGGATGTGTTTATCCACCTGTGTTTCTGAACCCTTCAGAGGAAAAGACAGAACAGTCTAACATGTAAATAAGAACAACCAAATCCAAATAGGCCTGCAGATACACGAGGACTTCATTTTCAAATAGAAACTGGATGTTGAGACTCCTACTTCCTTTTCTTTGCATACCTTCTTTCGTGCATTGTTATCGCAAATGGATTATTGGCTTTGGCATGTGCTTTTAGTCTCTTGAATATTTTTCTCTGTAAGATGGCAACTGTGTGTGTGTGTGTGTGTGTGTGTGTTCTATCATATTTCAGGATAAAATGAATCAGGAAGCTATTTTTTTGCAAAGCAATTCTGTACCTTCTAGTTGCATCATGGGCTCCCAGCTCCTAGGACTCCCTAAGTTTCAATCCTTAATTCTTCATCTCTTTCTACTCTTTTTGTTATAGTCTTTGTGTAATAGTTTGGACATAGCAGACAGCTCTCTTCTTTAAATAATCTCTTCTCTTAGTATCTGTGCTGCCATATCCTCCTGGTTTTCTTCCCCCTCTCTGACTATTCCTTCTTAGCCTCCTTCTTCAGCTTCCTTTCCTCTATCCAACCTCTAAGTGTTATAGTTCCTAAAAGGCTTGGTCTTGACCTTCTTATTTCTTCTACCCTTTCTAAGGAGCCAAGCTCTACCCTGCCTCAGGACTCTCATACACTGTTCTCTCTTCTTGGAACTCCCTTCCCTCCAACCCTTTTCTGTCTAATTGTTATTCCTTCTTTTTTTGTCTCCTTCTTTTTTGTCCCCTTCTTTTTGTCCATGTTCTGGACTATTCACTTTTCTCCAGATACACCCTGTGCATTCCTACCTCTTCTTACTGCTTAGGCTCATTCTGTTTCCTGTTGTATAATGGCCAAATTCTATTTTTCATTGCCTAGCTGAAAAGCCATGTTAATTCATGAAGCTTTCTATAATCACTAAAGATTTTTTAAAATTCAGATCAATTAATATATTTTATAGTACTCATAGCCCTCTTCACATTTATTTCCTATTATTATTTTTGTGTATATGCATTATATCCCCTATTAGACTGTAAACTCAAAGGCAAAGGTCTTATCTTCAACTTAATTGTATCTCTCATAAAACACAGCATAGTGCCTTATACATAATAGTTATACACAGTATGTACTAGGATAAATTAATGAAAATAATCACAAAATCAAAGAAAGAGAAATAGTTTCCCAAGAGAGTTCTCATTCTCATTTCAAAAGGAGTAGGGAACTTGGAGCCTCTAGGATTACTGCCCTTGGCCTGTAAAGGTTTTTGTCTGTGCCCTGGTATGTAACTTCGGGTGAACTTTATATCAGACTGAGAAGGTACACTGCTTTGTTATCAGACATTTCTGTTACTTTGCCTTTCAAGCTGAAAAAGGGAGATAGCTTCTATTTGCTTTGAGCTTCTTGTCGATGGTTTTCTGCTCTGCCTACTAATCAGGGTTGTATTATTTACCTTGTTTAAAAAGACCCATCTGGACATTCTTTCTCTCCTTCGAATTGCAGTTGGATATTAATTCACTGCTCTAGGATACATTGGTAAAGATTTCTGAAATTGCAAGGAAATGTTTCTTTAATCCTTCAAGTTTGTTAAGTGCTTTATTATAATGGAGATCATAATCTCCTAGTTGGTGGAAAAGATGAAATGGTTACTGGGGATATTTCTCCCTTGCTGCAGGAGTGCCATGTGAGAAAATACTCTGTGCAGTTTTTTTAATCCCTTCCACATGCTGTAAGGTCCTTAGGAAATAACTAGATAGCACTGATTTCATGTCTTTCATAAGGCATTGAGTAATGTTCAGGTTACTGTGATTCACAGAGTTAGTGGCCTTGAGTCTTTATTGGTGAAGCTTGAAAGTAGTTTTCTTTAGTATTGTGCACACAATAGCTATTAGAATGCTCAAATGAGGCTGTGATTTTGGGAAGCATGCAGTCATATATCTTGACCGTTCAGCATAAATTGCCAAATAGCCAGCTGGTAGTGAGTGACTTGAGGGGACAAAGGAGAGGGGGCTTTTAGGCCATGAATGCTCACATCTCCTTGGTTTGTTCTTCTACACAGATTTTAAGGGTCATTTTTGATCTGCTCAGCAAATTAAGTTTCCTGATGACTTTTGCATTTCTGTTTTCCTCTGTGTTTTTTTCATACTGAAGAACTTTTTTGTTTGTCAGGCAACCTCAAGTTGTAACCCACCTTGGAAATGATAACATTATTAATGTATTTCTTCTTTCTGTAGCATTGATAGTGCTGCCAGTTAGTGTTTATTAAGTATTCATGGCTTGTGAAATGCTAAGCAATAGGGAGAATTTAGGTCCAGCTACAAGTATAAGATATATAATAATGATTTCTCATTCTGAAGGGATATTATGTAAAGACCAGAACTGGTCTTTTCTAATTTAACCTGGGATTGGTAGAAAATGGGTGTCCCTGCCTCATTATTTTTCATTGCCTGGCACTGTTTGGCAATAGTCCTAAGTGGAATTAGGGGAGGAACTAGAGAGGATCTATTTTCTTTGAGTTATCCACATAGCTCCTAAATTCTGGAGGGAAAATAAAAAGTAAATGACAAAAACAATTTTAAAAAAAAACAATAACCACAACCTAGTTTATGACATCCCCAAAAGAAGTATTTAGCCATGATTCTCAACATTTTGGAAATTAAATTTTATTTTTTGACAAATATTAATAAATATTATTATTCAAACTTCTCAAATATAGGCTTTTGAAATCAGAATTTTACATCTCATCTGCCCCCTAAAAGAAGTATGGCTATTGTGCATACTGACCATGAGCTCTTGAACCATACGTAATACAGAAGCACGCCCTCTCTCTAACAAGCATCACTCCAATCTAGGAAAATTTATTGTCTTATGTTCTAGTGAGTCACCAGCTCATAAATCGCATTGAACAGTTTTTGGATACTAATGAAATACCATATTTTATGAAGAGCATGGACTGCATCAAAGCCTTCCGTGAAGAAGCCATTCAGGTAATGCTATTCTCACCTGTCTTCTCCTCCCAAACAGTTGGCCACCATCACAAGGGAGTGACATACAGCATTCCACGAATAAGCTTGGGCTTTGGAAATAATCATTCTCAATGTGAATAGTAGTGTATGCCAAGAGAAGTAGAGATGACTAAACTCATATCACTATCATTGTCATTTTTGAGGGGCAACAAAGGTGGGTGGGTGGAATGTTTTCTCCCTGGGCATTAGCTTTTTATTACATGAAAGCCCTGGCTTTGTGTTCCTACTTAGGGAACCAAGGGAATTTCCATCGTAACCTCTAGTGGCCCAGTCATTGTTGTAAAGGATGGGCTAACTATTTTAGGGCAATTGATGGAAAATGTATATTGATATAATTATTGAAAAAGATTTTATGAAGACAGAAGTAGGGATTTGAATGCCAGGAAAAAAAGAACACTGAAAATTAATTACTCAGTTCCCCCTCCCTTTGGTGTAGGTTAAGTTTTGTTTGTTTTATTAGAAATTTTTAGAAAACACTTTATAAAAATCTCCCAAACTATTTATAGATTTTTATACATTTAGGCAAGAGGCAAACAAGTTTAAATTAGAAAGTATATTTTTAAAGTAGGCATGATTATATATGTTCTTATGTGAGTGCTTATTAAATATTTGCCGAATGAATGAACAAATCAATGCTTCAGTAATTTAGGTGCTTACAATGACAGGAAAATGAAAAATTCATTAAAATTAGATTAGAGTAAAAGATTCAGAAGTAAATGACCCAAATACCTACCCTACAGATAAAAAACAAAATTTTGGAAAGGTAGAGTCAGGACAATACTAAGAATGACTCAGTCAGGTGGAGAAAGATTTGGTTGGACAGAAAGTAGTAGTAAAAATGTATTGCTTGTCATTAGCACTGCCCCAGACTAGATGGAGTGTCTGGTGGCACTTCTGTGCTATGCATGGTTGCCACTGCATGTCCTTAAAAGTACCAGGTCACTGGGTTTCTTTTTCTTTTTTTCCTTTTTTTAACTTTTTTTGAGACAGTGTCTTGCTGTGTTGCCCAGGCTGGTCTCAAATTCTTGGGCTCAAGTGATCCTACCACCTTGGCCTCCCAAGTAGCTGGAACTACAGGTGTGCGCCACCACACCTGACTGTGTTTCTTAAAAAAAAGAGAGCCAGTGATGGAAGAGGAGCAAATTCATGTAGAGACCTTTTTTGAACTGTAAAAACTCTAAAAGAAAGGAAGAAAGTTTTACAGAACAATTAAAAAAATGAGAATACTAAACATTATCTGCTCCTATGTAGGAATTATTAATCTTTTGTGTGATATATCATGACATGTGAGTGTGTGGTTTTATAAAAAAAAAAAACAAAGTATGTATTTTAGATATTTTGTACAGAAATATTTATAAATGAAATAATACGACTGAAATTTGCGTCAAGACAATCCTAGGGCTATGGGAGAAGGCAGGGCTATAGACGGACCAAGACTGGTTGAGTTGATACTTATTGAAGCTGGGTGATTAGTCCATGTACACTCACTAATTTTTCTCTCTGATTTTGTTTGGAATTTTCTATATTAAAAGTTAAAAAACAAAGTGCCAGGCCACCAAAAAAACCATGTGGCTGTGGAATATTCTGCGCCTTCCACAGATGGAAACATTTCTGGTCCCCAGTGAACATAGCTTAATTTGAAATGCCACCTTCTCATTTACCAAAGAACATTTTTTTTATATAATATTGTGGTGATTCAAAATAGATGGTACTTTGGTCTGGGTCTGCATTGGGTTCGTGTTTACTCTCACTTGCCACTTCTCCCCCCCACTTGCCACCACAGTTTTCAGAAGAGCAGCGCTTCAACAGCTTCCTGAAAGCCCTTCAGGAGAAAGTAGAAATTAAACAATTAAATCATTTCTGGGAAATTGTCATTCAGGGTAAGTTTTCATTCATCTTTTGTCCAAATATTTGTACCATTTTTTTTTAATAAATAAACATACAAATTCTGTTATGTGTCGAGTTGTGTGGGGACCTGATGACTTTCCACTTGGCTTTGGGGAAGTCTCCCTTAATAAGCAAAGATGCAAAGTGATAAATAATAAATAAACATGTAAGTCCCATCTGAAACTTTGAACAGCATGACCCATTTCCAAGGTCGTGCGTTTGTTTGTGGAGTGGAGCCGCGGTGCAGGCAAGCATTGCCCCTTTCTCGGGTTCTTAGGCCATTCCAGTCCTGCTGTTTCCACAGCATTTTGACCTCACCGCATTTTGCCTCCCTTCCGCCTTTCATGACCGTGTTCTTAGGCTTTGGGTATCAGCAGGCCAGCATCTTCGTGCACCAAAGCCATTCAGTTCTTGGCTTGTTCACAGCGACCAATGCACATTCCACCCAGAGAGAAGGCAGCACACATTCTCTCAGTGTTAGGCTTGATCTCTGCTTTTATTTATGCCCTTTGCCCATTTTTTAACCTGATCTGATTTTCTTTTAGAACGAGTATAAGATATTACCTATTAAAAATACATATTATGAATATAGTGATGTTTAAGAGTTAATATGATACTTTTCACTTAGAGTAGGGATGTGCAATTAGTTTCAACCTGTCTTCCTGTCCAAATTCTGTATAAAAGGAGTCACATACCTATCTATTCCACTTCTAACGGGCTGCTTTTCATCACACAGGAACCCGTGTCCCTGACAGTTAATTTTTCTGCCCTTTAACTTCTACACTGGGGAGGAAAAGCAAAAGCAATTAGAATAGGTGGTGAACGGGGCTTCCTCAAATCACTTTTGTGTCTCTGGGCCGACCTAGTAGATGAAAGAGATTGGTTTTGTTATTTATTGAATGCCTGCAGCATATTATTTGCTGAAGAGAAACTTACAGGATGTACGCTAGATACATATTTTCTGATAGATTATATGCTGTTGAGAGAATACAAATGACCTCTGTCATTTGTAGGTAAAAATGGATGTCAAATGCATGTGTGCTTTTCTGAAAGAGTATTGTGCATCAGCCATCTGAGGTAGGAAAAAAGGAAGAAGAGAAAACTAAAGGGTAGATTTTCTGTGTTGTATTTGCTCTCACTGAGCTAAAAGTGGTGCTCTGTGCTAAGTGGTAGACGTCCCTCTTGTTGAACATGTTTCCTTCTGCCCTAGTCCTCTGGCCACTCTGTCAATAGCCAGTAACACTGCTATAAGCCAAAATATGTGCAGAGTCCCATATTGGGTTCCTCATGGGTTTGGATACGAGCATACAGTCCTTCAGTTATCATTTATTGAGCTTCTGCTATATATTACACTAAGTCCTCAATGTTGATAGATTCTTGAAAACTACAACTTTAAGGGAAAAGTATGTAACAAAACCATTTTCTTCTCATCACCATTATAACAAAATGACATTATTCAAGGACCTGCTCTATGTCATTTTCCTTAAAGTCACAGTTTCCAAGAACCTATCAGCAATGTTAAGGACTTACTGTACATTAAGGGGGATATAAAGATGAAGCAGCCCCTGAGAAAAATATAGTCCATTCAGAGAGATACCGTACGTACAAATAGTTACACAACATACGGCATGATGACAGCCATTCCAAAAGGACAAAAAAGTGATCTGGGAATTCTAAAGAAGGGGAGGCTATTTCTTTCTGGAGAGGCTATTTCTTTCTTGATCAAGGAAGGCTTCACGGAGCTAGTGGCATTTGAGATGTGGCCTTTATTGCTTATTGCACAAGCAAAAATGGGAGAAAGGCTAACGTCAGATAAAACAAACAGTGTGAATGAATTGCCTTTATAGTCTTACATTTTTTATAGAACAGAGCACCTGTGGTAAAAGTCTTCGGCACAAAATGGGGAGGAGTTGTGGTAGAAAGGAAAGTAAGGTTGGGATTGATTATTTGCCTGTGGATTTTACTCTGTGAATTACTTTTTAGATGGAATTACTCTCATCACCAAAGATGAAGCCCCTGGAAGCTCTGTCACGGCTGAGGAGGCCAAAAAGGTACTAAGGGGTAACTCCCTTTCTTTAGATGAATTATTGCAGTGGATATTATTTTCTTGATACCCTTGAAGAAGTTAAATTTTTAGGATAACTAAATTGTCCTATTCTTTATTCAGCCAATAAGCAAATTTCTTCTACTACAGCATCCTCATGGGAGAAATTATCATCTTACTTTGGTTTCCTGTAGGCCATGGTTGCATTTCTAGAATTTACCTGTAATCCCAGCCTTAATAGCTCTAGAGGTGCTGAACTCCAGAGCTTACCAAACGTAGCCTAGGCCCTGGTAAAGGCTATGAAATCCAACTAGCCCAGTGATTCCCACCCTGACCATACATTAGTCACCTGGGGAACTTTTTTTTTTTAAATACCAATTAAAAATCAGGGAATAACCCCAGAGATTCTGTTGGTCTAAGATGGGTCCAGGGTCTGGTTTGTTTGAGTTTTGAAAGTCCTCAGATGAATGTAATGTATAAGGGGTAGAGAAACACTAGTATTCTAGCACGAGGGGCATCCAGGGATTTTCAGTAAAAGACCCCCATGTATGCAGACCCCGTGAGCTTTTTATCGACACAAATTGTTAGGTCAAGGCCCGCCTGCTTGGTGTGTAAGTATTGCATCTGATTTAGCTATGAGTCAAATACGTGTGGCTATTTCATTCAGTAATCCTTCATTATACCTCAAGGTTGTGATGAAATTTTAATGAAATTAAATCGAATAGCTCAAAAGTATATAGTTCATAACATTCAGTTTCAGTTACACTCATTGACTGATCTAGTCCTGCTAGCACAGTACCTGGCAACTGTCGGCCTCTGAGCTTCTGCTCTGTGCTGGGCACGGTGCTGGATGGCACGACAGCGCCCCTGTCCTCCAGAAGCTCAAACGGTCAGTTATAAGGGAGCATAAGGAGGCAAGAGAGACTCAAAAACTCTACAGGCCAAGGGAGAGCTTGGTCTGGGGCTGGCAGACAGGAATCCATTAGGGAAATGACAGGAACAATACTGGAAATGTGTATCATATGGCTAAATTCAGGCCAAATTAAAAATGTCTTGAATTTTCAACTCAGCAGAGGCATTTGGCAGAAACCATAGTATTGTTTAGGAGGGAAGTTAGGATATACAGGAATTTTTATTAAGCACTTTGCCTGGCAAAAGATTTTTGTTAAAAAACAGATATGGTCCCTACTTTTAAGGAGTAAGATCCTGGAATTTTGGAAGCATAGTAAGGTGGTGATAATTATCTCAGAAGGAGTTCCATGGTGT